GGAGTTCAACATCTCTTGTCCGTTATGCTGTTATTTTAACTTCTTGTTACAGACAGTTCTCTCTTTTAGTTGACCTAAAAGTTCAGATGCTTGTTATAAAAGACTGAGGTCACATATCAGATCGAGTTGTTCTTGGGAGAACTGTTGGGGTGTTGAAATGCTTATTTAATATTCACTTCCACTGTTGTCATCTGTGTTACATCCTAAACTTGAGTTTCTTCAGCATCTGACAACGGAAGGTCAGGCAGTATTATAAACACTGGTATGGGAATGGCTTCGCTGTGTGCCACAGGTCTCCTTGCTGACCCCACATCATGATGTTCTCACTTGACTTTCTTGTATCGACTGAAACCTTTCACATTCACCATACAGAAATAACAATCGTCGTGGTGGCTTATCGGTTCTCTCCACACCATAGACACACCAAGTTGAAACTTTTCCTTTGCCTATTTTTCCACTGTGGTAAGCATTCTACACAGTTTTTGCAAACCATATGTTCTCCAAGCGCCAATCCAAAATAAGGAAAATAAGTTTGTTTTATAAAATCCGTGATATTTTTTCTTTGTTTCTGCAAAGAGTATTTGCCACAAATGTAGCAAAATGCATTAGGATTGTTTAAGCAGACTTTTCGTGAAGAACTCGTGTTTATATGGAAAAAATAACAAAATATAGGTTACAATACTGTCACATAGCCGTTGATACAGACTCCTTTTGTTAAATATTAAATCATTTAAAAATAAAATTCTAATCTTCATTAAAACTATCTGTATATACAAATTGTCACGATACACACACACACACACACACACACACACACACAACACACACACACACACACACACACTATGTTAAGTGAGGGTAGGTACATAATATCTCACAAACTAATAGCTAATTTGAAAAACCTACTGCCATTTTCGAATTCAGCAACCCCAAAATACCCTAGATACCCAAGTTTGGGAGACAACAGTCTCTCACGCACAATCTTGGAAATCCACACACCACATCAAGGTGACTTGGCTTCGGGTGTGGGAAGGGGAGAGGACGGCCTTGCGTAGCAATTCAAAATTCATCTACTCTCGAGGGTAGTGGCTCCAAATAGCGTACCGCTGGCGATACTGAAGACACAAGTTACAAATAAGCTTTTATTGTGACAACGATTTGCTTTGTTATAGCTTTATTATGTCCTGAGTTCGTTTAGCTCTTACTGCAAAACTATGCCCCAACAAAAGCTTATTCAGCAACGTGTTTTCTTCAATGTTCACGAGCGTAGCTACCTGGAGTCTACCTGGAGGTTATTCCGGGGATCAACGCCTCCGCGGCCCGGTCCACGACCAGGCCTCCCGGTGGATCAGGGCCTGATCAACCAGGCTGTTACTGCTGGCCGCACGTAGTCCAACGTACGAACCACAGCCCGACTGATCCGGCACTTACTTCAGGTATCTGTCCAGCTCCCTCTTGAAGGCAGCCAGGAGCCTATTGGTAATTCCCCTTATGCTTGGTGGGAAGTTGTTGAACAGTCTTGGGCTGGATCACTTTCTGGATCATGTCTTTTCCTTAAGTGCTTTTACGCCTTTTTTCTTTTTAACAGTAGCTTGGGTGACTTCCAGGAATCTTAAACTCTAGAAACCTCCCGCCATCCTGATATTCTGTTCTGCTTAGAAATCTCGACTTGAAGTTACTTATTGCGTAACAATTATCCTCTTGTCAGTCTTTACATCTCAAGTAAGCTATATCAGCCTATTGTTTTTCTCGTTAACATCACGAAAAATAAGATAAATTCATAAAATTTCAATTTTAACAGAAGATACAAAAAATGGAAGAAAACGGTATGATAGGTTAAAGAGAGATGACCCACGATGAAAGTTTAAGGTGCGCACCTTCACACTGCCAACCACTCAGGACCTGATGCTCCCCAGGCCTCCTACCTCCTCCCACACACACACTGCCAACCACTGAGGACCTGATGCTCCCCAGGCCTCCTACCTCCTCCCACACACACACTGCCAACCACTGAGGACCTGATGCTCCCCAGGCCTCCTACCTCCTCCCACACACACACTGCCAACCACTGCCAACCACTCAGAACCTGATGCTCCCCAGGCCTCCTACCTCCTCCCACACACACACTGCCAACCACTCAGGACCTGATGCTCCCCAGACCTCCTACCTCCTCCCACACACACACTGCCAACCACTCAGGACCTGATGCTCCCCAGGCCTCCTACCTCCTCCCACACACACACTGCCAACCACTCAGGACCTGATGCTCCCCAGGCCTCCTACCTCCTCCCACACACACACACTGCCAACCACTCAGGACCTGATGCTCCCCAGGCCTCCTACCTCCTCCCACACACACACTGCCAACCACTCAGGACCTGATGCTCCCCAGGCCTCCTTCCTCCTCCCACACACACTGCCAACCACTCAGGACCTGATGCTCCCCAGGCCTCCTACCTCCTCCCACACACACACTGCCAACCATCAGAACTGATGCTCCCCAGGCCTCCTACCTCCTCCCACACAACACTGCCAACCACTCAGGACTGATGCTCCCCAGGCCTCCTACCTCCTCCCACACACACACTGCCAACCACTCAGAACCTGATGTCCCCAGGCCTCCTACCTCCTCCCACACACACACTGCCAACCACTCAGAACCTGATGCTCCCCAGGCCTCCTACCTCCTCCCACACACACACTGCCAACCACTCAGGACCTGATGCTCCCCAGGCCTCCTACCTCCTCCCACACACACACTGCCAACCACTCAGGACCTGATGCTCCCCAGGCCTCCTACCTCCTCCCACACACACACTGCCAACCACTCAGGACCTGATGCTCCCCAGGCCTCCTACCTCCTCCCACGCACACACTGCCAACCACTCAGAACCTGATGCTCCCCAGGCCTCCTACCTCCTCCCACACACACACACTGCCAACCACTCAGAACCTGATGTTCCCCAGGCCTCCTACCTCCTCCCACACACACACTGCCAACCACTCAGGACCTGATGCTCCCCAGGCCTCCTACCTCCTCCCACACACTGCCAACCGCTAAGAGCCTGATGCTCCCCAGGCCTCCTACCTCCTCTCACACACACACACACAAAACACACACACACACACACAAAACACACACACACACACACTGCCAACCACTTAAGAACTGATATTCCCGAAGTCGCTACCCCACACTCACACACACTAAACTTTCAAGGAATGATGCTGCCAAAAGCCACACGCACGTGCGAGTACTCATTCTCTCTCTCTCTCTCTCTCTCTCTCTCTCTCTCTCTCTCTCTCCTCTCTCACACAAAAGGTTGCAACATTCTAGGACGCTGCTCACAGAAAGTCTTGCACATTGTTGTTGCATATCTTGACGTCCGGTTTAATTACTTGGGGAATTATTAAAGGTGAGATCTCGACACCTACAAGGCCTCGGAAAACCTCGCGAACCTCACCAACACACGATGTACATCAATGTACTTCCTGTAACACACACACACACACACACACACACACACACGCGCGCGCACGCGCGCGGAACAATAACAAAATACATAATAACACTAAACACCCACATACTAACAAGAGTTAAACACGGCACAAAAAACAATTCTAAAACTTATATGGCAGGCAAAAACATGTACTTTACAAAACATGGTACAA